AAAGAGAGTATACAATTTGCTCTAGACAGTCAGCATTTGATAACTCAGAAGATTATCACCCCTCAGTACTGTACCCAGTCTCAGGAAGTATTTACAACATGGTGAGAAAGGGTAGGTTGTACCTGCTTTATAATTCTATGAAGTACTCATACTTACAAATATTCAGAACTAGTTAAAGACTCTCTCTGGCAAAATAAAACAAGTAGCCTAATTTTGCAAAGGTCTCAATGGATTTTGGTGTGTGTGCTACATCCATGATCAAATCCAAACACTCCTAGGGTGGGCTGGATAAGTTTTTGGTAACCTGCTTCATTATCGGAAGTTTGGTAATAAGCCTTACCAATAGAATATAACTTCTTCAGCATCAATCATTTCTCAACTGGCTAATGGGTCAATGATTTCATCATGAATGAGAATGGAGCAACATCTGGTGTAAGAATCAAAGAAAATTTTTCTCACCCCACACAGGAATTGGAATGGGTCAATGTAGAACAAAAAGAGGTGGACATTTGGCAATTGCAGGGTGTTACTGTTCAGTGTAGACATATCTGAAAAGTTCACATTGGAGGTTCATATTCAGACGGAGGAGTCTACACTGGCCAAACAACCTGGAGGAATGCCAGACCTCTACTTTTTACAATATGGATAAAGGCTTGGGACTATGCAGCAGAAACACCCACCTGAGACTGTGAGTTTCAATCTTAGAAACTCATCTTTCAGAGCCTTCTCAATGTGACAACTAACCCCTCTGTATGGCCAGCCAGGGGAGCATGAGGTTGGTGGCAGTGAGAGGTTTCTCTGCACTGTCAAGCATACACATCTTTGTCAAGATGTGCTCACAATCTATGAAACTCGTGCTTTGTTGGAATAATGGAATTCTTTGGTCCTGGGTTTTATGAAAGGCAATATTGTCACAATCCTGTCAATGTAGACATTGGTAAATGATTTCAAGCTGGGACTAATGGCACAGGGGCAAATTAAATACTAGATGGAAAACTCTACACCCTCCAAACTTCCCAGAGTCAACTTAATGAGCTCCAGCATCAGGCCAGATGTCGGGTCAATGAGGTAAGGTCAACCCACAGAGACAATCGAGCTGAAGCTTAAAAGTAGATATAGGCTTTTCTGACTGCCACACACACTGCAAAAATTTGAGGAAAATCTCCATCCTAATGGCTAATAAATTGGCTTTACAAACACTAATCAGAGATGAACCAAATAACTTGACTTTAGTCATACTATAGCCCTGAACTACTGAGGTGCGGACAACCAGAAGGAATCATAATTTTTAAAAAGTCTTTTATTAGATCCCAGACACAGTGGATTCATTACCAATGAGTTGCATGACTTATGCTCCATTAAAACAGCTCTAGATAGACAGACTTAGCTGATACATATGTTCTACATCTATTATGCCTTGACCTTTCTAAGCTCCAGTTCGGTATGGCTTGACACAAGTAGTTCATTGATAAGACACTGAGAATACATGGGAATGCTGATTGTATAACTAAAACCAACTTCAGATTGTCTACACAGTAAGACTCATATGTAAACTTTGTTAACATCTCGCAAGGAGTGCTGACCTCAGCCAGACTGGACATTTTCAAGCCATCTACAAGGAACCTGGGGTCAACTGCCAAGGTCAGGAGCGGGAAATGCCATTTGTTCAGAAGAAGCAATGGACTAGCAGCCTTCCCTATGACTGTGTCTAAACTATGTGAATAGTATGAAGGTGGTTCTGGAATGAATACCTGTCCTTGGTTCATTCTTATAGCCAAAAACAATCACTTGTCCCTGCCGCCATCAACTCAACCAAACTCTTCAGATTAGCCATGAATTACAGACTGCACCGAGTCTATCCACATGGCTCACGTTGCATGGAGGAAACAACCCGTATTACCCTTAAAAAAATTTTTTTTTTTGCAACAAGCTTAAGGCCCTGTTCACAAACTCCATCAACTGCCACACAGTGAGAATTTATGGGGAGATCTCAAACTACACACGTAGTTGCAAAGGTTGGAAAATTTACTGATTCTAATGGTAAGGCTTATTCACAAATTAAATACATTTTCAAATTATACTTCAAACTCAATTACTTTGAGGAAAGATTCACCTGCTCTCTAATAATATAAGAGCATTAGATTCAAGCGGAAAAAAGTGGCACCAAACCAGTATGCTATTTTTCTGAAATAACAAGTGATATTAATGGAAAAGATTGCCTAAAACGCATATCCTAACTTATCACAGAAATATAAAAGTTTATATTCTGAAAATATATACTGTATTAAAGTCTGTAAGCATTTCAACCAAAATTTGCAGAAATAACTAAGCAACACTTATCTACAACAAAAATATACATGCAAGACAACCCCAAATGGTTTCCCTTAAATATCTACAAAGGCAAAATGTAGATTTTTAAAGATTATACAAAAACCATTTACAGAGAATAAAATAAAATACTTAAGAAATCTCCTTTAGAGTCTTAAATACTGTGTATATTAGTGAGGGTGTCTAGACTAATATATACAACAGATCTAAGTATCTGAATACAGAAACACAGAAGAGAAGCAATTCTGCATTTTAAATATTCACTTAGGAAGATTTGAAGATGTTTCTATTTGTTTTTCTTTGTTAAAAAAATTTCCACAAAAACGAGATTGGAAAATTGCATGAATGTGACTAAATTCCAAATTAAAAAATGTTTACAAAAGGTTTTAAACCAACAACTAATAATGGGAAATGCAATTCAGCATTCAGTCAAGGCTATTTTTAAATGTGAATATTCAGACATACAATTGCATTGTTCAAAGTTTACTGTGGTTATTATTTTCCATCCTCATACTAAACTTCATATGGGAAAGACATATTTTCATGCTTCAGAGAGAACATTTCCTAATTTAATCTATACCAAACAGGAATAATATTTTAAATCAACTCTCTACTACTTTCTCATAGTTATCAACTTTTATTCTTAGTGAGTAATTTTGATGTGTTTTTACCCACAGACATTATTTCTGTGTTGGCACGTGGGTATAACAGCATTAGGCTGTGGCTCCAAATGGTGAGGAGGTCTGACTATCTCAATAAAGTCCTGCACTAAGTTCTCTAGGAACAGGCCTGTCAACACAAATGGTTCCACTTCAAGACCCTGGGTAAACCATCATTGGGATTGGGGCAGAAAGGGAAGGAGAGTTCGAATGCATGGCTAATAGGATGGGAAAGAACAGATTGCTAGAAGCATTCTTGACTATAGATGTGCCCTCCCCTTCTCTCCCATAGCTGTTCTTCTAAACCCAAAGGTAATTCTGGGATGGGATTGCCAAGACCAGCCATAATTCCTCAAAAACCTGTCCAGGCTTTTGGGAGTAACATTTGGGCTGGGGTGGAAATGAAGTGGGGGGGGGGGGGGTGGAGAGGGTGGGAAGGATCCCATAGGTGGAAAGAGGCCCATGGGGTGGAAAACCAAAAATGAACATCTGAGCCCTACCTTGAGAAAGCTATTAGGATCAACCCTGACACAACCATAGGTCTGATACTTTCCATCTCAGATCCATTTGCTTTATGTTACCTGGATTTCACCTACACATTGTCAAAACAACTGTCCAGAAAGTAAAATATTCAGTGGGTCAGTCTACCCTGTAACACACAGATTTCATCCACTTTCACCCACTTGGTGAACTCCCTTACTGAATTCACTGTATGCAAACCACCAAAATACAGGCTGTCTTCTAAAACACATGGTATACCCAGAACATACAAATTAATGGTATGAATTTCACCTTAGAAATGGTTTCATATTCCTACCTTAGTCATCAGACTCTTTAAATATTTAGAGGTTTGGATTTGATGATATGTCAAATGTGGCTCTTTCAGCAGGGAACAAAGGTGCACACCAATCGAGACATGTTTCCAAACATCCCCTTTCGTTTTCAGTGAGAATCCTGACACCACTTCTACGGACATTGAACATACCTGTCCCCAATCAGAAGTTAAACAGAAACAAGGGGCTCTCTCTCTAAAGGATTTGGCAGTGGAGAAAGACTAAGTTTGTCTAAGTTCTGGGGAAAGCTCACATTTGCTTTCTCAAAGGAGGAAACAAAATCCAGATAAAACGGTGACAACGGGAATTTGGGCAAAAGCAGGTGTTTCCCTACAGTAATTCCCGGTAGGACAGGTCTGCATTTCCTATAGGATCCACATGGACAATATCCATTCCATCTTCCTCTGGCTGGATTCCACCAAACTAGCAGTCCCCTGTTGGCTGCCATGGCCAAGATGGAGGAGAAGGGAGAAGAAGAGAAGTTTCCTCTCCTTCTTGACCCTCATGAACTCTAAAGGAAAGAGGCTTTTGAAACACAGGGGGAACCAAGGCCATCTTAAAAACTAGGAGTCTAGATAAACTTGAGAGGCACCGCTTAAAAAACCACATCTCTAGCTCTCATGTAGGCACTCTACCTGTTCTTTGAAGCTGGGCACTCAGGGCTGCTCATCCCTTCCACCTGCTCTGTCCAGGGCACCTGGTCAACTGTAGGAGAAGATAAAGGACCACCGAGACACAGAGAACTGGAACTGTGGCTCTAACTCTTCCCAGTGCACCTCACCTCCACCATCCGTGCCCACCTCTTGCCGCCTTCCTTCACTCCATCTGAGGAAGAGCCAAGAGAGGTTGGTTCCCAGCAGGAAAAGAGAAGAAGGGGCGAACAAAGGGCTTCTGGGAACTCTCAGAGGTTGTGATGGGCATGGAAAACTCCTGCCATCCTGAGAATCTAACTGAGTGTTTGATTCATAGCAGGTTTAAGCCTTATGCAGAACACACCCTTTCCTTTCGTCTGCTCTGATCTTGATGTTTACACCTTTCTCCTCACCAGCCAAAACCACAACCCAAATCGTTCCCTCTTCTCAGTGAATACAGGGACTTGAGCCTGATGGTCTAAACACAGCTGCTGGAGTCCCCCTGCAGTCCAGGAGCACTGAGGCAAGGAGACTCGTCCCTAGTATTGTTCCCTTACATGAGTAAACAACTAGAAAAAAAAAAAAAAAAGATAGGCCATTCAGGCTTCTGGAGATGAAAAGATTTAGACCTTCTCCAAAAAGCTCAACAGAGCGGGAATTCTCTCCCATGCCCCTAGAAAGCCAAAACCAGAAATCCCTGACCACATGGAAGCAATGAATTCTGAAATCCAAGTTCGGTCATTTGCCCCAAAGAAAAAGGTCATACTCTACACAATATGCTACCCCCAGGTGAGGTTTATTCCCCTTTCCTTTCCTGACATCACACAATTAGGGACTGGGTCTATTTCAGGACTATTCAGGCTGAGAGGTCCCTTAAGCTCCGTAAAGACAGCAGAGTAGAGAGAGAACTCTCCCATTATTTCTCCTAAGGACAAACCTAAAGAACTAGCATTATATTATTACAACTGAGAACCATTTTACACACAGAGGATCTGGTGCACAGCTATTCTGATTATCTGCAGAAATTCTTCTGTTTTCATCTCTCTGAATCTTATTTCTACGTGGTTCCTTACTAGAATGCACCAAACGGCATGAATCTGGTGTGGGATTTGGTCCAGGGCAGTATGAAAATAGTATCTGTGTGAACAACAGACATCACAATATATAAACACAAATAAATAAATAAAATAAGTCCGATTAAAGAAAAGACATTTTCCTAGTAGTTCAGATTTTTGCAAAACTAACTCTACATATAATACACATAAATTATCAGAATCTCCACTTACATTGTTTTAAAAATATATATTTAACAAAACACTTCTAAATGTACAATATCTGGGTTTGTAAATCACTCAATTGGGTTTTAAGACCAAGCCCTAATAGTCACACAGATTTGCATCAGAGAGGAGACTGAAGCCGGGTGTATGCAATTGTTTTATTCATCGGTCTGGAAATTCCCTAAGACTGATCGTTCCTCTGGCACCCAATCTAAATGTAACCAGAGAGAGCCAGGATGGCCAAGTCTCCAAATCAGAGGCACTGTGTAGACACAGCCTGAGTCAGAAGGATGGGGGAAGTGGTCTTCCCCTTCCTGGACCAGGATGGTGCATTTCAGCAAGTGGGGAATGGGCTGTGGTGCCTGGTGGAGCCCTGGGAAGATGGAGCTCTCTGGCCAGTGGGGGAGGCAGGGGGGACCTGGGGGGAGGCCAAGTATGCTGCGTTTCCTACCTGTTACACAAAATCAAACCAATGAGGAGCAACCAAAGGACACAAGGAAATGAACACAACCCTAGGTATAAAGAGACTCCTTGACACACTCCTTGGCCAGGGCAGATACTACGCTCCAATTTCCAAAACACAGGGCAGAGCTGGAAGTTGGGTGCCTGTGAGCACTGGAGTGGGTGAGCCGGAGCCCCTCAGACTTCATAAATTTTGTCCTGCAGGTAGCTGAAAAGGGAATCCAGGCCTTTGGAGGAACTCCAGAGTTGCTTGAGCATGACACATTCCTTCTCATTCACATCTTCAAGCACTGATTTCAGGAAGCTCCGAACGAGGCATTTGGATTCCTCCAACACCTGAAGGGAAACGGACAAGCCAGGTCAAGGCACTGGTCAACCTTCCCATGTTCAAAGCCACAGGAGGCTGCCTCCTTTAGCCTGGGCATTCCCAGTTCCATGCTTCCTAGCCATGATGGATTCCAGATGTGTCAAGGTGCTAAGCCCTAGTCCCTGGGATGGCTGGGTGGGCCTATGTTACCCTAGACCACAAGAGCCTTGTCTTTTGCCCAAACACAGTGTCCTTTCCTATCGATGTCATGAAAAAGCTTGGAAAAAACTGCTTTAACCTCCTTGTTCCTCATTTTCATTATCTGTCAGGAATATATATACCTAACTCAAGGATCACTGGAAACACAGAATGAAACAATGAAATAAATTAGTGGTTGTCAAGTAGCCATACAACTTACCTCAATAGCAATGCCCTTGATCAGGCTATAACGGAAGTAATCATTGTAGTAGCAAGTAATAATAATCACAGCAATCATAATAATAATATTAGAGTAATAAGTAATGATCACAACAATAATGGCAATAATCACCATAGTTATAAATAATAATAATCATAGCAATAATTATATTGATAATTGTAGAAATGGGAACCATCACAGCAATCATGATAATAATTATTAAAGTATAAGTAATATAATCACAGCAGTCATAATTATTACATGTAATAATAGTAATTAATATGTAATAATAGTAATTATCATCATCATCACAGCAATCATAATCAGCAATTGTAGTCATGAGTAATAATCATAGTAATCACGGTACTGATAATCGTAGTAATGAGCAATAATCATAGTAACAATAGTAGTAACTATCATGCAATGAGTAACAATAATCATAGTAATGAGCAATTATAGTTGTAGTAATATTAGTAATAATAATAGCAATGCCACTACGATCGCCATTGACCAACAGGATCTGAGAAGTACTTTTCTTGAATTCTTCCATGCACCCCTTAAGATAACCCTGCAAGTAGGTAGCATTTTTACCCCCGCCTTACAGATGAAGAACCCAAAGCTCAGTGAGGTAAGGTGGCCCAGGGCTGCCTGACTACTCGGTGGTGGATGCAGCAGGAAACCCAAGGGCCAGCTGATTCCCTCTGGCAGAAGCACACCCAGAAGTGAGGCCTGGGAGTGTCCTTTGCTGGCCTCCACCAGCCTCTCCCAAAGTGTTGAGGCAGGACCACAGTTCCCTGGCTGTAGCAGCCTCATTCTCCCGCTGGAACCAGAGGCTGCCAGGTGGTGGGGATGGGCTGCCAGACCCAGACCGCCTCTCCCCTCCCCACCACACCCCCAGGAAGTCTCAGAAGATACCATCTCCAAGAGGTGTGGGACTCATGCTATTGGAATAGTTGCTTTCTCGGGAAATCTCCCCAAAGCTCCTGAATCCATAACTATTGATAGCAGAGACTTCCTCGCAGCATTTCCTATCCTGAGAACTGGTCTGACCTAAGAGCTGCTTCCCTCAGGTGTCCTTTCAGTTGCCATTTTCACCTGAGCCATCTATCTCTCCACTGCCCACAGAACAACCAAACCTCCCTACAGCCTCCAGACCTGTCTCTAACCTTCCTTTTCAGTGGAATCGTCCCTTGCGCCCCTGTGCCCACCCACCAACCACATGCCAGGGCCTGCACTCCCCACGGACTTCCTGTCTCATGTGCCTTCATTCATGCTGTTTCCTCTGCTTAGAAGCGCTGCCTGCCTCTCTGTGAAGCTGAACCCTGGATGATGAACCACTCCCATTGGCCCAGGACCGCAAAGTCTCCTGGGATGTGAGACTTTCAATGCTGAAACCAGGAGAGTCCCAGGTGAAGTGGGTCAAACTGGTCATCCCAGTCACTAGGAAGATTCCAAAAGAATCCATAGGAAGAGATTAGCAAAGCCTGGGGCCGCATGAATGTTCATTAACAATGTAGAGACCATCACTCCCCCACCCCTGTTATCACCCTGTCATCACTGTCTGTTCAGCTTCCAGGGAGTAGGACTTAAACACGGCAGGTACCCAATCGATGGTGGATGAGGCCCATCAGGAGAAGCGTGACAGCTAGGTGGTGACACCAGCAGAAGGAGAGAAAGGAGGGTGGCTCGAGGGTCCCCAAACCCAGCCCAGCAGCTCCCTGTCTCTCAAGCACAGAGCAGGTCCTGGACCTTATCCTCCCCAGACACGCCTCTCAGCTCCGGAACGGGCCCCATGGCGGCTCCAGGTGCGGCCTTCTCTCAGCCTTTCCACAGGATATTCCCCTACCATGCTCAGAGTGACTGTTATGAGATAAAATCAACACTTAATTAAAAACTGGCACCTCTGCAGAGGTGTTATTTACTTATCTATTTTTCAGTGCATCTTCAGAGTCAAATGATAACATTTAAGTGTGCCAAGCGCTCGGTGGGGAGAAGAAATGAAATCTGGGGACGAAGCGTGCTACTCTCTCTAGTCATCTCTGGGCTGGTTCAATGCCTTTTGTCCTTATGTGCCTTTAGTTCTCATGTCTTTGAAAGTTGTAGATGTTTTATGCTTTCATGTGTGTTTAGGACTTGCTTTGAAAGCGGTGAGTCTACCCCCAAGTGTAAATCTCTCCTGTGAGGTTTTTCTGACTGTAGCTAGTGGAGAATATATAATAATGCTGACTGTCTCCCTCTGATTTAAGCTCTCAAGACAGAGAAGAGGGATTTGTCAAATTGCAAAGAGTCTGCTGCTTATTCCCTGCATGAGCTCTGGCAAGTCAGTGAGTCCCTCTGAGCCTTGTGGTCCTCACCTGTAAAGTGGGTCTATCAGAAGGACAAGCACCCGGGAGGTGCAGGAACTCACCACGGCGCTGCAGGACGCCATCTCCTTGACCCGCAGCATGACCTCCTGGCTAAATGTGGTGGGCCAGAAGACCTGGGACACCAGCCCCCTGCTGCAGGCCTCCTGGGCAGTGAGCTTCCGCCCGCAGAACAGCATCTCGTTGGCCTGGAAAAGCAAAGGCAGGGGAAGGCTGAGGACCCGGAACTCCACCCGTGTCCTTTAGCCAGTCCTGGGCTTGCTGTGAGCAACTGCCCCTGCTCTCGAAGGCAGGATAAGCTTTGGGAATTGCATGGAAACATTTGAGTCTATGTGCACTTTTCTGAGCAGAGGGTCCACAGCTTTCATTCTGCTCTCCAAATGAGCCATGTGGCTTTGCTCTAAACCCCTTCTACTTCTGGTGGTAAACCCATGAAGTGGGCATGTGCCACGGGCTGGGTACACTTCAGTGTCCATGAGCCAGTCATGATGATGGGTCCAGGGATGAAGAGATGCTTCAGCCTGGATAATAAAGCTCTCTCACGGGGTTTCTAACTGCAGGTGCTAGAGAGAAGTCTTTCTCCATCCCTAGTTTCAGGCTAAAGTTAGTGAACCCAGGAGATACCCAAAGCTGTGTCCCTGCTCTGAGGAGGGTTGGGGCAACAAGGAACAGAGAAATAAGGGGCGGGGGAGAGACAAAGAGAGGGAACTGATGGTGCATGGATCCTGGACTGTGTCTCTCCAAGGGGAGTTCTACTTCTGGACTTCCCAGTTGGGGAAACCATTAAGTTCCCTTTTTCAAAATCAAAAATTAAGCCAGTTAAAGTGTTTCTATCACTAGCAACCGAAAAGGTCTTGAATAATACCACAACACGAAGGCAGAGAGGCACATCTCTCCCAGTGGCTCAAGGCTGGGCACAGGCAGAAAGCCCTTTCCTGGGATCTTGTGACCTAGGCCGCTTCTGCACCCCATTCCCCAAAATATTTCCTTTTGTTTTGAAATTTGCAGCTGTCACACATGAAACGACAGAGGTCCTAGACACAGAGCATGTGGCAGTAACCCGCTGAAACTGAACTCACTCTCATGCTGATCATTAAGGCATAATGGTCATGTCCTTTCCTTCTTCAGGATAAATAATCCCTTCTTCACAGGGCAGACAGCGCCTTTCCTGTCTGCTACTCACCTGCTTCCCCCACTCCCCTCTCCCTGCCCCTGTGCGCCAGCTCCTCTTGAGTCAGTGTTAAAACGCCAAGTGCTCTCAGTCCTCAGATCTATGCTCCCTAAGTCTCCCTCCCCCACCTTGGTTCTGCTTGTCACTGATGGGTCATCATGACCCAGAGGACAATCTTTTGAGCCAAAGTAGAGAAATGTATTAGGTTGGCCGCAAGTCTTAGCACGTGTTTGATTAGAGGTTTGGAGACAATTGTATGCCATCACGCGTATGGAGAAACCCTCAGTCGCGGAAAATGAAAGGAAACAAATGAACTCAGTAGAATGAGGCAAAAGGGCCCCGTCAACAGGAAGAACTCGTCTCCCCCAGCAACATTCCTGGAGTTTCAGACATGGTTGAAATAAAAGAGAGAGAGAAAGGCAGAGACAAGACTTACAATATTCACATTTTTTCGTGACCACAAAAGTGGGGAGGAGCTGAGTGGACTGAGAGGGGTCCGGGCAGCATACACAGTGCAGATCAAGAGTGTCTGATTCCTGAGCTCAGCCGGTGCCTGCCTAACTTGCCCGCCACTGCTGAGACTGTAAGCAGCCTAAGGTGGTTCAAGGTTCCTACATCCAAATGCCCTTATCCATCTTACCTTGTCTATCCTTGTCCTTATTGGCCCTGCTGAATTGAGGAGGTGGTGCCGGTGGGTTTTGGGGCTGACAGTGATCTCAGCAGCTCTCTTAGTTGTGCTTCCCATTTCATTCAACCACCAAAGAGTAATGACCAGACACAGAAGGGTTACAGTAGGGTTCCCTAGTCCTCCCAGACTCACAAGGGAGGCACCCACTTCGGAAGCCTTCTTGAGCCCCTCCCCTGCCCCATGTGGGGCTGGGTTTTGTTCTTTGGTACTCTCCTTCCTCAAAGCACAGCATCCTTGGACAGCATCCTACCTCCCAGGTGGGAAGGCAAAGATTCACAGGAGCTACACAGGGAAAAGCCCAGATTCTGGGAGCAGGCACCCTCAATCTGCCATTTACTTTGCCCTGTGATCTTGTGCAAACCTCTCTGTCCCTTGAATCTCAGTTTATTCATCTGTTAAGTGGGTGCCAATGATCACCTCAGGGCAACTGTGAGGACTCAATGAGAAAACAAAGATGGGGTGCAAGTACCGTGCCAGTCAAGTCTTAGTGCTCAAAGCCTGGGGATTGTTGAGGAAGAAGCTCACATGTCATTCGTCTTTGTATTTCTAAGCAGGTAAGACAGGGCCTGGTGCACACGGAGAGCTCATTGAGGGTTATTGGACAAAAGAAGGAACAATGCCTACTAGTGTATATCACCTTAACATGCTGGGTCTCAGTTTCTTTATCCGTCAAATGGAGAGCAATAAGACCTAGCTTTGAGGATGTTGAGAAGAGTGAATGAAATCATCGTGTGTGATGGTGCCTCATATGGCATCGGCACATAGTAGGTGGTCAATGCAGCCTTGGAGAACCTCCCTGGGACAACTTACACAGTTCTTTGCAATCAGTGTGCCCATAAGGTTTTGGTATGGAATACAATGCAGTGGGCACATTTCAAAGAGGAGAGTATTAAAGAGATAGCAGGAAGCATAAAAAAAGCAGTCATCCCTGTGCAAAATCTCAGCACCAGCAGGAACCCACTAAGTCTCAAGTAAACCTTGAATCTAAAAGGTTCTACCCCCAAAACATCTCCATCTGGGGTGGGGGAGATGGACAGAGGATCCCAGGAATCCAGAGTACTGCAGAAACACTGAACTAGGGTTAGGAAAGCAGGTGGGGCCCAAGCTGAGCTCATGAGGCCTTAGGAATGTTCTGGGTAAGGGGGATCAGAGAAGGAGGCATTCCGGGCCTTGAGGAAAGAACTGAGAAGGGGACAGGGGCTGAGAAGAGCACAGTGTGCCCAGGAAACCACTGACAGTATGAAGTTGCCAGGAGGTGTACATTAAGACAAGAGACCAAGCAGGAAAAGTAGCAAAAAGGGCTGCGCTATGATCTGAATGTCGCATCCCCCGACAAATTCATATATTGAATCCTCATCCCCAAGGTGACGGTATTAAGAGGGAGGGCCATTGGGGGTGATTAGGTCATGAGGGTGGAGCTCTCATGAATGGAATTGGTGCCCTTCTAAGAGAGGCCAAGGGAGCTAACTGGCCCCTTCTCCCCGCTTCTGCCATGGGAAGATGCAGTGAGAAGGCCCCTTGGAGCACAGAGCAGCCCTCACCAGACAAGGCCTGTACCTCAATCTCAGACTTCCCAGTCTCCAGAACTGTGAGCAATACATTTCTGCCATTTACCCATTACCCAGCCTAAGGTATTTCATTAAAGCAAGGGGGAATGGAGCAAGATAGGCTAGGTTATGAAAAAATGTTAAGCCATGCTGAGGAGCTCAAACTCAATCCAGCAGATCTACCAAGGCTCTAATGAAGATATATTATCAGAGGGTCAAGGAGACCTCAGACCATATGGTGCTAGAGAAGTTGAGGAACAAGGAGGCCGAGGAAGAAGTTTCTATCAGCCTCTGTCTCAGCAGAGCAAGATGACAACATGAAGTTGAAAACAGGCCCACTGGCATTAGCAAATAGAAGGTCATGGGAGTCCCCTGCAACAGAATAATGGCCATTTTCTTCTTTCCTACTAGGTGAGACCACCTACTCCCATACAGGCAAGGTGCTGGAACTTCAGAACCCTGAGGTCCCTGGTTTGGAGGAGTTGGAGGTTCTTTGTCATCAGTGTCATTGGCCAAGATTTCTGGGGTGGAACTCTTTAGATTCAAAGTTTACTTGGGACTTAGTTCCTGTTGGTGCTGAAATTTTGCACAAGGACAACTGCTAATTTTTGATGCTTCTTGTTATTTCTTTAATACTTCCCATTCTGAAATGTGTCCACTGTGTTATATTACACACCACATCCATGCACACAGGTGCTGACACTTCAGGACCCCAGACTCCCTGGTTTGGAGGAGTCAGAAGTACTATGTCTGCTTACTCCCCTTCTCAGAGACACGCTGTTACAAGGGAGGTGCAAGTTTTGTTCAAACAACAGCCACTGTTGTGAGTACTTGGGGAGGCATATACAAGTCCTTGGGTGCCTCATTCTGCTTTTGCCTTTCTTAAAGGCAAACCTTTAAGAAAACATACAAGGACTTCTGAAAGAAACATGGGATAAGGAGACAGAAATCAGTGACCATCCACTATGTGCAAGAGGCAGGTTAACAGGAAAGTCAAGATTTCAGCAAAAAAATAAAATCCAAGTAGTACAAAACTCTGAGGAAATCTAAAATCAGGACAGGTCTGGACATTTCCATACCAGAGGTCACTGAGAATAAAATGTCATCTTCTGTACCCTTAAAAAAAATGGTGAGACTCATTGGGAGAAGCAGCACTTGGCCATATCTGTTCCATGAACTTGGTAGGTGGTAGGTGTGAGGACTTTGTTCATACAGAAAGGCTCCTGGCCACCCCTCAGACACCATTTCCCTGCAGTGCTCTCTTTGAAAAGCAAACTTAAGGGTGTTATCCAGAAGCCCAAGGACTCCATCAGAGTGGGTGGGTGGAAGCAGGACGTCTCTGGTGAGGACCCATAAAATGCACAAACAGCCCACTCAAGAGATAAAAAAAAAAATAAGGACATAAAGTTTAGTCACTTCACTTAACCTCACCAAGTCTCAGTTTTCTCCATTGTCCAAGAGGCATGATGACAGTGTAGAGTTCCTAGCACAAAGGTGAGATGAACTGAGCCATGCTTAGACCAAGGTCTGCTACGTGGGGAAGGTTCACCCCATGTGGGTGACAGGGATTCACTATTTTTATGATGGCTGGTGGCGTCATTTTCAAAAAGGAACAGGAAAGACAAGGGAAAAGAAGGGATGTCTCTAACTGTCATAACAGAAGCAGGACTACGTGAGAGATGATAAAAGCAGGCTTGCAGGACCCCAGATTCAAACAGTGGAAGATGGAAAGGCAAAAGCAGAAAAGGATAAAACCCAGCATAAAGACCGCCATCCTTGCAAAGGGAATCAAGAATGATGGCTTGATTGGATGCAAGTGATCACAGTCCTAAGAATGTGCTTAACTGCCTGAAGATAGCCAGGAGTAATATCAAAGGTGGGGTGTTTACTTTACAATAAAATCAAGAACTAGCCAGGAGTGGAGGCTCACGCCTATAATCCCAACATTTTAGGAAGCAGAGGCAAGAGGACTGCCTGAGCACAGGGGTTCAAGACCAACCTGGACAACTTGGTAAGACCTTGTCTATATAATAAATCAAAAAATTAGCTGGGTGTTGTGGTGCACACCTGTAATTCCAGCTACTTGGAAGGCTGAGGAGAAAGGATCGCCTGAGCCCAGCAAGTGAAAGCTGTAGTAGCCACAATTCTGCCACTGCACTCCAGCCTGGGTGACAGAGTGAGGTTCTGACTCAAAAAAAAAAAAAAATCAAGAAGTAAAAAGAAACACCCTGAATGAAGCCTGTTCCAAAAAAGGAACAACTCATAATAGCCATGGGGCCACAATAGACTGGAAGAAGCATCTCTGCAGGGCCCAAAGGCAGGTGCACATATCTCTGGGGCTGTGGGTTTGGCCCTGTCATCTGGAGCATATGGTTTTTTGGGGTCGGTCGTGACCTACAGCATCTGCTGGCAGATGCCCCCAGCAGATCCCAGCAGATCTTGTTGAAGCCTGCATGACTTTGAAATCCCTGCACCTTCCCTGGAGTATGAGGCTCACAAAGGCCAGCCCCACCCACTGCTGTGGTCTCATCCCACACTATCTCCCACTACCCTCAACCAGGGTCCAGCCATGCTGACCACTCTCACCCCAAGGCCTGCCAGACCCATGCCCTGCTTTATCCTTCCCCTCATGTGTCCTCTGCTCGGAACTCTCAAGTTCATTTTCAAATGCCGTCTTCTCACAGGGGTCCTCCCTGTGCAAGGTGGAACCCCTACCCAAACAGAGTTGGGGAACAGAAGACCCAGAGAGCAGGACTTGTCTTTCTTGTTCACTCCTGCACCCCTTGCAGGTGTGGAGAGCCTGATGCTTAGTGGATTCTCAGTAAGTATTTGAAGGGAGGGCAGGAAGAAGCTGACTGGGCTGCCATCCCTGGAGGGGGTGGGAAAGAAGGAGCTCCCTGAGTATCTTCTGAGCCCCCAGCTCAGACCTATGCTTAAGAAACAAGAATGAACCCATCAGAGTTGAGTTCAGAGTTTTTGGCTAACACCTACAGAGGCTGGTCTGAGTGCCTGTAGAAGAGGGCTTGTGTGCCATCAAAGGAAGACTGGACACTGCAGAATGCCACCTCATATGCCTACTTGGACCAGGTATACTTTCTGAACCCCTCCCTGGTCCTGATGGTGCTAATCTCAGACTCACTCCTCAGATATGGGACCTATTTTAAAACAGGTGGGGTTAAGAGCACAGACTGTGGAACCAGACAGTTGGCGCTCAAATCCCACAAATGCCATTACCACTGTGTGACTTTAGGCAACTCACCTAACATCTCGGAGCCTGTCTCTGCACCTACAAAATGGGATGGCAGTTTTCTTACCTCACAGGGGCATGGTGAGGATGGACTGTGTACAGGACGGTCCAGGCTGGCACACAGCGAGTACTTTCTAAGTGCCAGCCATCATCACCACTCTTCCCCACCCGGACATGCTTCTGGCTGTTGGTACAGAATCTGACCACAGCCTACAGTACACTGCCACCTCCATCAGACACTGGCTCTGTGCTGGCTGACTAGCCTGGCCACGTGGCAAGTTCCTTCATATCTATGAATTTAATGCTCCATCTGCAAGATGGAGATCCCAACAGTCTCGACACCAGGTGAAGACTACTTTGTGGTCACCAAAATCCTTTCCCTCTGCTTGCTGGACAAGCAACTAGACTACAACTCCCGGTCTCCCTGGCAGGTGGGTGTGGCCACATGGCTGACTCATGGCCAATGACTTGTGTGGAGATGCAGGTGTCCCTGTAGGCCTGGCCCCTAAAGACCTCCTGGGTGATCCTCCAGGCTCTCTCTTCTCTTCCACTGGCTAGCAGCAAAGGCAGATCTACTGGATGGGAGAAGCTAGGTCCCCAGCCAGTGTAGACAGCTCCCACACCTATGCTGGACTGTGCAAGAGTGAGAAGGAAATTTCTGTTGTTCAGAACACTGAGACTGTGGGTTGTTTGTTACAGCACACAGCCTGCCCTCATACACATCCTGAGTGGGTTGCTATGAGGAGTAAACGAGACATTATGTTGAGTGCTTAGTGAAGGACCTGGCACAGAGCATGTGGTTCATACATGGACACATCATCATGCTCTCAGCTCAGCTACTCCATCTGGCACTGACAACTGGAGGCTCTGAGACAGCCTGGCAGATTGCTCAGGATAACGGTACCCATGGGTTTCTACCTACACGAAGAGACATATCCTAAACCCAGGACAGAGGAGGACTCCTACCTGGACCCAAATTCAGGCATCATAGAGAGGGAGGAGAAATAGGAAGCTTACCAGTGCGACGCCCAGAATCTGGGGGAAGGTGTAGGAGGAGCAGCCAGCAGGCGTGAGGCGGATGGTGGCATAGGGCGTCTGGAACCATGCCTTCTCGCTGGCCCACACGATGTCACAGAGGGGCAGGATGGAGGCGCCCAGACCCAGTGCTGGTCCGTTGATGGCCACCACGATGGGCTTCTTAAACTGGATAAAGGCCTTCACAAAGTCCCTGGGAGAAGAAAGAGGTCCCTCTTTTACAGGTGACCACCACTGGCCAAGCTCCACTGGACACCTCTGATTCTTCTTGGTGCTGTGATGCACCCTCAGGTCATCAGAGGTGACTGGTTACCAGGCAAGGGCCACCGGCTACCAGATCTTCAGAGCTACATTGACGGGATAACTACAGGTCCTGGCCTGTCCAGATCATGTCTGGTGTCCCAGCACTGCACAACCTGCCATACCCTCTCCTGGGTGGACCATAAGTTATATGGACACCTTAGATATTGACAAAGCTGTGCATAAGCTAAGGAAAACATCCTGAATATTAAGGTGCAGAATGAGAACCAGAAAGACAATATTACTGGGAGCCAAATTTCAACTAAAAAAAAAGAAGTCCATCCTAACATCTCTGGCCAAAGTGGAATGGGGTGGTTCAAGAGCTATGAATTCCTCAATCTTGGAGGTATTCTAATTTTAGCTTGATGATCACTTTAGGTGACGATGTAGAGAGAATTCCAGCTTTGAATGGTGGGTATGGGTCGGGATAAATGGCATTGAAAATTTCTTTTAATCCTATGATGAAGGGTGATCTGATTTTGAATTACCTACAGGGATGCCAGATTCATCAAGGGTGTGGATCTATACGTTAGGGTGGCTTTGACTAAAACTGGGGAAGGTTCCTGGGCTCCTCTGGAGACACAAAGCTTCCAGAATCATGGCTACGGGTTTGGGCAATATTTTCTCTCCCAGCCCCTCCTCATGGAGCAAGGTCATGGTATGCACCTTTACCTGCTGGTCAGAGCCATCAGCAATAACCTCTATTTTCTTTGCCTTATAATTTTTTTTTTTTTTTTTTTGCCTTTTCCCTGATTGCTATATAAGAGCTATAAAATTTTAATATTCATCTGGATATGGAAGAAAGATCTAAGATGTCTAGTAAAGGTTGCATCCTTCATTATTCTCAGGTGGAAGATTGGAAACTACCAAAAACTCACAAGAATAAAATCCAAACACCCATGACCTTGGTCTAACCTTGGTCTGGCTTGGTTTACCTTTCCAGGCTTGCCTCACATCACTCTGGCCCCTGCTCACTGTACATGAGCCACATAGGCCTCTGAGCATTCTTAGAAAACACTGTTATCTCAATTTGCAATTACCCTAATTATTTGTTTGTTATTTTTGGATTCTTCTTCCCCATTGTCCTCTTAGGGACACCCACAGGTCTACCTGGGGCACTGCTTGGCTTCTATCAATATTGGAATCAACACTCAGTCAATAGCTGTTGAATAAATACGTAAGTCTCCCAGGACAAAAGCAAACATTGTAAAAGTGTGGCAGTGATGAACCAACTCTTCACCAACCTTGTTTTTCCTCTTCTTCCAAGGTCTATTGGTCAACCTCATTTCTCAGCCTCCCCTGGAGGTGGCTGTGTCCAACTCTCTGGGTAGTGACCAACAGAATGTGAGTCAAAACCACATGCACCACTTCCGGGTGCACACAAACCTCCCACCATGTAGTCCTCTAAGCCCATCATTTTGATGAGCATGGCTGTCTTGGAATACATTTACTGAGCCACAAGTTGGAAGGAGTCTGGGTTCCTGAGTCAACACCAAGAGGACAGTCATGGGCTTATCAGTAACATCTGTTTTAGATTTTTATGTGTAAAGCACATTTCTATCACAGTTGAGTCAGTATTTATATTTGGGGTTTATTTGTTACAGCAGTTAATACTTAACTAATACAGTGAGCTGATTTATCCTTTCTCCTTCCAACAGTTATCAAAGGATATGAATGTCATGGTGATATGTTGGGATCAGATTCAACTGTGAGAAGACTACTTAATATCCTCATATTCTGCTGGAGTAGGGAGTATCTACATAAATGATATATATGAATCATAAATGCATGCACCTTTGATCCAGCTTGAGACATCATATTGCCTGAGATGGTGGAGTTACCTCAGTCCCTTCTGGCTCCACTGCAGCTGACCCCAAAAAGACACTGCTTCAAAGAGGGGGTCTTGGCACCGTGACTCTCTGATGCCTGGTTTTCCAGGGACCCATCTTCTGGCTTCACTTCCTAACCTGATGGCTAGGTTTTGGGTTAGGTCACTGGTTTTCCTAAGTGCTTTGTACCAAATGCAATTTAGAGCCCGAAGGTGACATAGATATTCTCTGTAGGATCCTTGGAACCCCAGGGTTTGGGTGATTTTTGTCAGTCTTCCCCTTCCTGAGTGCTTTCACACAATTTCAGAATCTTGGATCTCAGAGTTAGGAAGGACTTTAAGACTCTTGGAACCATACCTTTCATTCAGTGCAGAATTCCCTCCATAACATTCTGAGGCTGCATCACCCTACTTTTTTTTTTTTTCTGAATAATTATTTACTTATTTTTAAATTTGTATTATAAAGATGTGGGTTCAATTCAGGGTTAGGTATATGAACATTGATCATGCAGGTACCCTTGTTGATGAGGTATGCCCCTCCCTCCCCTAGCAGTTTCCCTCAACTGCCAATCCCACCACCCCCCACAGTTTCCTACTACTGACAATCGTTTACTTATAGCATTATAATTGTTCAAGGTTAGCTTATGAGTGAGAACATACTTACAAAGGTATTAAGCACAGAAGATAGTATCACCCCACTTTTTAAAACATTTTTTATTTTAGATATGTGGGGTACAACTCAGGGTTAGGTATACAAATGTTCATCATGCAGTTACCCTTTTTGATGAGGTGTGCCCCCGACTCCCCTGGCGGTTTCCCATCACTGTCAATCCCTTTCTTATAGTATTACAATAGTTGTTCAAGGTCTGCTTATGACATCACCCCACTTTTGTTGGATATTTTCAAAAAAGAGGGCCCACCCTATCACGACAGCCTCCCCTCTGTGGGTCTCCTGAGGCCCTCTCTGACACTCTCATTACCTTAGTTCCGTCAACTACAAGATGGAATGGACCTCAGCCTTCATAGCCTTCCAGAGTCTTCCCCTTCAGGACCCCAGAGCCTTTCACTTGCTCTGTGTTAGGGCATCAGGGACCCCTGAGGAGGGCAAAGGGGACCAAGGGTATAATGCATCGACCCTCTGCCTCAGCCCCTCCTCCTGTTTCATTCCAACCTGCCTCTCATGTAATTTCCTTGATATAAAAAATGTTGTCCCCCGCCCCCTTTTTTTCTCTCACCTCAGGCGGTGAGATCTCTATCACAAGGAGCCAAACAGCAAACAGGATATTGCATTACAGGCCCTGCGGCTCAGATATCTGATCTTGACTGCAGGATGGCGGGGCTGCGCTCAGAAGATCACTGGCCTCTCCCCGGGCATCCAGGGCCATCAGGCTGACCCCAGCCTGCATAGCTTCCTCTCTTCAACCCTGTGGCTTCTGCCTGCCGGAGCTGCTGGGTGGCTCTGACGTGGCAGAAGGAGCAGGAACTTCAGAGTCTGAAAGACTCAGGACCAACTCTCAACTCTGCCCCTAACTAGCGGCGAGAATGTGGACAAGTTCCCTGGTCTCTGGAACCTCATTTTCTCTCTCTGTAAAATGAGAAGGCCATGATGTCTCTTCATATAAGGGGCCAAAGGAGACAGTCCACGTGGGGCGCTAGCACCGTGCCTGACACACAGGGAGCACTTGATCTCTGCTGCTTTATTACGGGTGGTGCATTTGCCAGGGAGGATGGACACAGCTTTTGTTCCATTCTCTGATGGAAATGGTCTGCGATCCATTCGCGTAGCCCAAAGGAGATTCAGAAGTAAACTTCTGCTCATGTCTGGATTTTCCCTGGAGCAACTGGCATTTATTTTGTGACCTAGTTACCCACTCCCCTTGTAACCATTGTAACCAGAGTCATGGAGGGCAGCTCTCACTGGCAAAGCTCAGAGACAAGTACGGGGCCAGCAGGGCCTATGAATACCGGATACACAGTGAACCCCATCCTGGGCCTCCAGAGAGGTCTCTAGGCACCCATTTCATATCGGACTCAGCTTAGCTAAAACTCATGACCAGAAGTAACAGCAGTAGTAACAGCAATAATCATTCTTTATACCAATTCAAAGTGTTTATTATGTGCCAGTAGTAGCCATGTATATCCTATGGGGTACCTGATTATTCTTCATCTTAGCAAATCGCCAGTGAGGTCATTGCCATCATTTTGATTGTTACCATTTTCCCGATGAGCTAGGCTTGGAGCGATCAGTGGTGTGCCCAAGGTTGCACTACTAGCAAGCACATAGAGGTGGGTTTGAGCTCAGGCAGCCTGCTTCCTTCCTAAACACCATGGAGCCTACGCTGCCTTCCTAAACACCATGCTTAAACAAGCCACCAAGTCACCTATGACGAGTTCAGGGGAGGGCAGCCTCTCTTGAGGGTGGGTCGTGGAGCGAGTTACCTGAGCTCTCCTCATATTCACGAATTTATTCACTAAATATCTGCATAGTGAACATGGTGCCCTGGTCACATGTGTGTAGTTTTCTTTAGGCAAAGGTGAGGAGGGGGTGGGGGTACTACTCAGGTGTATAGGGACACATGGTATTCTTAGATCCTAGCAGTCAGTTCTATCAGAAGATTGCCCTAAGAGAAGAGAAAGGGTTGGTTCTATGTCCAAAAGATGCTTCAGTCCTACTGTATTTTGAACAAAGTTCTTTCACAAGAGACTTCTCAGACCATAAGTGCCTTAATACATCTGGAAAATCTGCAGGAGTGGCACATGGAACTTGCAGTATGAACCAAACTCCTTCCAATGACAGTGCCCTTCACGCCCCTCACCCTCTCCATCCCTGCTAGTTCATAAACTTCTGCTCCCTTTGAGGCATCGGGCAGACTTCTTCCTGCCTCTGCCATCCTGCCCTCTGCTCTACCTCAGGAAGTTCACCTGCCCATAAAAATGGCAAATACCTGAGTTCCACTGGCTGCATTTCTCCAGAGGTGGGGCTAACACGTCCAGCTTCCTCTCACATTTAGGACCTCTGCCTTGGGGTTCCCTGAGCTACTCAGCCAGAAAAGTCAGAAGCCAGTTTTGCCCCAAGTCCCAGCCATGTTCTCTAGCTTCCTATGGCTGATGGTTTTCATACCTGTCAGCCTCTGACATCTCCTTCCCTGTGGATTTGGTTCTCAAGAGTCCAGAGGAACATGGCTATCATCTCAAGACCCCAACAGGTAGAGGCTATGGGGATGAAAAACAAGGTTGTGCTCCTAAGCTTTGACAGATCTAAGACGCAGATGGAGGAGCAGGCCATGGAGATGCTGCTCTTACCAGCGAGACTGGGTGTGAAAAGCCACAGGGAAGAAGCTATTTGCTGGCAGCTCTGGGGGAAGCCACCATGAGTCCTGACTCACTGGGGAGTCTGTTTCTTCTGTTCAGGTTCCATCCCCTCAGTGACCCAGCTGCAAGACCTCTTCCTGCATGTGCTGGCACTACCCCCCACACCCTACACTGGACATGCTTTATCACAGTCCATCCAAGATGGACCTGGGAGTCACACCCTGCCCTGCAGCTGTCAGGAATTATCTGTTAATAGATCCCACCAGAAGAAGAGAACAGTCGCACCCCAGAAGGAGTGGCCATTTAGGATGCAGGGACAGAAGTCAGGATGGAGGTCTGAGAGTCTGAAAAGATGGGGCTTTTTGAGGGGCTAATAATTTGTTTCAGGACTAAATTAGTTTCCTAGGGCTGCTGGAACAATTACCACAAAGTTGGTGAGCTTAAAACAACAGATAATTATTCCCTCATAGTTCTAGAGCCCAGAAGTCTGAAATCAAGGTGTCAGCAGAGATGGTCCTGCTGGAAGCTCTGAGAATCTGCCCCAGAACTTTCTTCCAATTTCTGGTGGCTGCTGGCCATCCTCGGTGTGCCTCGGCTCACAGCTGCATCGCTCTAATCTGTCGCTTTTGCTGTCACATCACCGTCTCCTCTGTCACTGTCTCCTCTCACAGGGAGAACTCATGGATTTGGAGTCCATTCTAATCAGGGTGATCTCATCTCAGGACACTAAACTTAATTATATCTGCAAAGACCCTTTTTCCAAATAAGGTCACATTCACAGGTTCTAGGGATTGGGACATGGACATTTCTTTTGGGGGCCACAATTCAACCCACTACAAGGGGTTTACATGCTAATGAGCTGTGTGTGCATGGAGTGGAAACTATGGGCTGTGTCCAACAGGTTTCCCTGGGCTTCCAGAAACCCAGCTAATGCCTCCACTGAAACTTGTAAACCAGATAAAGACCATGAGTAAACCGGGCTCGGTGGCTCAGCCTGTAATCTCGCGCTTTGGGATGCCAAGGTGAGTGAACTGCCTGAGCCCGCGGGTTCGAGACCCACGTGGGCAACTTGGTGAGACCTCATCTCTACAATAAATCAAAAAATTAGCCGGGCGTGGTAGTGCACGCCTGTAGTTCCAGCTACTTGGAAGGCTGAGGTGGAAGGATCACCGGAGCCCAGCAGGTCGAGGCTGCGGTGGCAGGGAGTGGCCACTGCACTCCAACTCAAAAAATTAAAATTAAACAACAAAAAAAAGACCATGAGTAAGGCTTTCCGTGGGTCACAGAAATAGGCACTCAGTTATCTGGGGCAGGTTCCAGTGACCCCATAAATGAGGAAGGAAGCATAGTGGGGATTCTGCTACTCCCCTTGGCATGAGAAAAGGCAGTCGCAGGAAGACACAGCTGGGACTGGGTGAAGCGCAAACCACTGTGGACATGGCCTGGGCTGGTGTGTTCCCAGGAAGTCTGTGTGACGCAGAACCGTCATGCCTTTTCAAATGCCAGTGCTCAGGTTTGTCATGTCGCTTCTGGAAAGAATTCTGCAGCAGGAAGCACACGGGGATTTTGGAGCAGAGACTCCAATGGGTGCTTCACCCCAAAGAGGAACTTGGGACTCCATACACAAGAGCATCCTCGCGCTGCATCCTCTCATGACCCCCTGCAGACAAGTGGGAAGTGGCCTCTGTGTGGTGCTTCCACAGAGCAGTGAGATTGGAGGCCCGGGAAAATCCTCACATGGCCTGAGGCGCCCTGACACCATGGAATGGTGTTCCTTCTCATGAGACCAGGGGGCATTCCTGAATGGTGACTCCTGCCTGTTTCCAAAGCGAGGTGCAGCCGTGTGTTTGCCCTTCCAGGGTGGACACAGATGACAGCCACAGACCAGCTAAACAGCCCTAGTGTCTAGAAATCATGCTCACTTGCTTGTGATACATCTATAGAGAATGGGAAAATAACTACCCTTCCATGTGCCAAGAAGGCATTGATTGTTGAGATTGGATATTACCCCCATGATGCCAACTTATACCCCAAAGGCAATAAGAGAAGGGGAAATAGCCCCTACCCCATTGGGGCTGCAAATGTACAACTGCTAGGAGATCCTTCCACACCCTTCCCATTGCTGAGTTATGTTAGCACCAAGACACAGGAACGTCCAGACAACCAGAGAGTCCCACCACTGGGCAAAAGGTGGAAACAATATGGCTAACACATGGGCATTATCAGACAAAGCCTTAATAGAAAATAAAATCTCTTTTTGATCAGACAGACGAAAGTGAGACCTAACCCAGAGAGCAAAGCACTCCTGACTTTAGCAGGACTAGAGTTGTAGAGAAAAATACAGGATGCTCAATTAAATTTCATAAAAATATCTAATATTTTTAAAACTTATATAGGTCTGAAATACCGCATAGGACATACTTAAGCTAAATAACAATATTCTTGGTTGTTTGAAGTCCACGTTTAACCGGGTGGCCTGTATTTGTAGTTGGTGTTCCTTGGCAGGACCCCAGAGCAGCAGCAGAGCTCACCTGATGGCTTCTGCAATCCGAGTGCTCTCCTTCCGCCGGTCATTGGACAGTCGGCCAATTAGGTAGGAGTAATCCAGGCCGCTGCAGAACACGCTCCCCACTGCGCTGAGCAGCAGCAGCTTGCTGTCATCCGTGGCCGCGTTGCAGAGCGCTCGCCGGACTTCTTTCATGATCTGCAGGCAGAGAGGAATTTGCAGGGATGTTAAGTATCTCTCTGGTAAGCCTAGGGCTTTTAGACCACAAGCCGGCTGGAGGCATGGCCCCCTGAAGGTGGAGGCAAGCAAATCGCTTTCGCCTGCACCGAGAGCCTCCCCTGAATACAAGCACACGTCCAGAGCCAGGAGGAAAACACTCATCAGAACCAAAGCTTCGGGCACTGTGCCCAGAGCAGGTCAAAGAGCGCTAATGAGGAGGCAGTGTGGTCACTGGCTGTGGATCTGGAAGCCTGGCATAGAGTCGTTCAATCCCTGGTAAATCTCTGCAAATCTTCTACCGGCATTTGCTTGCATAGCCTTTTCCAAGGTGTGGAAAAACAGTTCCATGCACAGCCCAGGTAAGGTACTCGAGCCACTTCCATATGGCTCAGTTTAATTGCACTCTTGCTCATCCTAAATTCAGCTAAGACCCGCCCCCCAACATGGCTTGTAGGTGATACATGGTAAGTGGGCTTTGGCACCACACCCAGACCTACTGGTTCAAAGTCCTACTGGAGTTCCAAGCCCCTGGTCCCAGATCTGCAACTCACCAGCCATGAGACCTGAGCCATGCTAGTTATTTATACTCAATTTCCTCATCTGCACATGAGAGATCATAGCATCCACTTTAAAGGGTCACAGTGAAGAATAAATGAAAGGAAAGGTTATGCTATGGCCACCTGCAGGCTCATATTCTTAAGGGATATCGTGGATTGTGAATAAAAAGCATTTTGTTCCTCCCTTTCATGCTGCTAAAAGTAACATCTGATATGAAAGGACTGTGTTGGCCACCGTATTGGCCATTCACTGACAAGAATCCCTAATCTCAGGCATGCATCTCCTGCATATATGCCCTGTGTATTCTTAGGGGCTCGCTCTGTGACCTTGTCTTGGGCAGAGGGTGGGACAGAATTTGGGAAGCAGAGACAGATGCCCTGAGCAAGCAGTAAAACAAGCAAGTGCCTCCTTGGCAGTGACACATACCACAGGCCAGGTGCTCTGTTGATTGAGTTCTAGCCTCCCGACACCACCAAAGGGTGGGCACTATTCTTACTTCACCTCATAGACCAGGGAATGGGCAACTAGAGAAGTGAAAACAACAGTCCAAGGCCATGCAGTTGGTAATGTTAGAGGTGAATTCAAACCCTGGTCTGATTCATAATACCAGGTCTATGCACTTTACTCCTGCAGACCTCCACTGCCTGGCTAGGACCGCCTATGCATGGAGGAGAGTGAGAGTAGTTAGCTCCAGAGCCAGTGACGGGTCTAAGAAGGAATGGACAGAGGGTGGAGACAGCTGGGCGAACCCAGAGCCCCAGTTACAACCCCCACCCTTCTCTGAATGTCTTGCTTGTGTTAAGCCCATATTCACCTAACCACCTTCACACATGATGTGCTGTTCTCCCCAGTTCTCATGGGGCCTACTAGCCTCCTTGATTCTGAAAGTTCTTCCATGGCTCCCAACCCATCCAGAATGAGTATCCTTCCCTTCCATGACCCTTTGCTCAGTACCCTCATTGCTTTTCTTCATTTATCATACATTCGAATGTCTTACCTACTTTGTCTACTGGGTTGTTTCCTGCCTTGTACGTGTTCTCCCCCCTCCCCCCACTTGACTGTGATTTTAATAATGTCAGGAATTACGTTTCTCTATTCCCCACCATGTTATGAGGACTCATGACAGTGTAGCCAAGCTGAAATGGTGCAGCTTTGGAAACAGGAAGCCTATGTTAGAATCCAGCTCTACCATTAACAAGCCCAGCCTCTCTTGTCATTCTGCCACCTGTTTGCTACACTAGTCAGAACAAGCTTCTCAAACAATTTATCTTCGCTTTAGAAAAAATCTCCCATAAGAACTTAAAACTCTAAGCCTGCCTTGAACATGGATTTGAAGTTCTGAGTTACTATAATCTTGTGAGAAGTAATCCACAGGCTAGTGTGTTCCTGTGGTATCTAACAGAAATCAATGTAAAAAGTATTCTGCAGAAAAACTACAATTCAGAATTCATGAGAATTTAATAAGAGAAAGAAATCCTTGCTGAAGAGAAAGTTCACAATCAAAAATTACAAAACAATTGAAGAAATAAAAGTTAGCACACTCACCAAACAAGGATTACATGGCATAACTTCAAGTAATAGAATGATCTAAAAATGATTATAACAAAAATATGTTTAAAATAATCAGAAGGAAAGAAAACACAAACAACAAAGAATGATTAGGAGAGTATGGGGGAAAATAAATCTGATGAGGAAAAGAAATTTCTTGAAATAAAAAACAAAGTCATGGACATCTGCTGAGATTAAAAGCAGATTAGATGGAGCTAAAGGGAGTATAAGTGAACTGAAAGATCTGAAGCAGATGCCAAAAATGTATCAGAGAAAACAGAGATAGTAAACATATATGAAAGGTTAAAAAAAGAATGAAAAAATTTAAAATAGGTACTGTAAATAGGTACTATAATCTCTATCAGGAGATTATAGAGAAGAAAGAAAAGACAATATCTAAAGAAATAAAGGATGAGAATTTACATAATTGATGAGATGCATTAGTTTCCTACAACTGCTATAAAAAATCACAAATTTAGTAGCTTAACACAATACAAATTTATTATCTTATAGTTCTATAGTGTCTGATACAGGTTTATTGAGCTGACATTAAATTGCAGTGGGTCTACATTCCTATCTGGAGGCTCTAATAAAGAAGCAATGTTCTTGTCTTTTCCAGTTTCTAGAGGCCACCCACATGCCTTGGTTCATGGTCCCTTCCTACATGTTCAAAGGTAGTAACCCAAGTTGGGTTTTTTTTTTTTACTTTCTCACTTTGTATCACTCTGACACTGATTCTTCTACTTCCCCCTTCTACATTTAAAGACCATTGTGATTATATTGATTCCACCCAGATAATCTATGATAATCTCTTTATCTTAAGGTCAGTTGATTAACAACTTTAGTTCCACCTGAAACCTTAATTTCTCCATGCCATGTATTTAATATATTCATAGGTTCTGAGGATTTGGACATAAACATCTTGGGGAGTGGGCATCATTCTACCTACTACAGATCTGAATCCTTAAATGCAATAACTACAATGAAAAGCTAAACAGAAGATATAATAGTAAATGCATGTAAAGACACACTATCTTTAAATTTCAAAATATCAAAGACAAAACAAAACTTTAAATATTTCCAACAATTGACTGGATGCATAATTCTAAATAGCATAAATAAATGCCAGTAGAAAAAGGTAAGAGAATAGATTTTTTTTCAAGGTGTGGTAGAAAATAACTGTCAATGAAATCTTTACCCAGCTAAACTACCACTCAAAAGTGAGGATAAAAATTATGCATCTGCAATAAAAGAAAGTTCATCACTCTTAGACTCTCACTAAAATAATTAAAAATGATGTATTTCAAGGAGAGCAGTATATTAAGAAAGAAAATCTAATGTTCAAGGAATAATAGCCAGCAAAGAGACTGGTGAATATTCTGTTAAACAAATATAAGATCTGGATATAAAAATCATAACACTGATATTGATTAATTTGAGCATGATGGTTTGTACAAAGTAGAACTATAGTAATAGGCAATAATACTGTAAAAGATGAAGGAGGGATGGCTGGAGTTAGAACAAGTCAAGGTTACACATTTAGAAGTGATATGGAGGTAAGGATTGCATTTAGATTTTGCTCTGTGGACAAATTTAAGGATAATTTCTTAAAAGTTCATGAGTTTCAATATATGGGGAGAAGGATAAAATAAAGAGAACCCAATCACTTGATTGCAAAAATAAGTGCAGAAAGTACATGGTAATAGAAAACAAGGTATGACACATGCCTGGGTAAAGCTTAGAGTCTGATAGGGAGACAAGAAGTGAACAGGCTTCCAAAGGGTCATCATTAATGAGGCATCATCATAGGGCATGGAGGGGGCAGGAAAAAATCATGAGAATATTGTTTTTTTTAATTATACTTTTTAAAGAAGTTCTATTTATTAAGCACCTAGAAGTGCCAGGGATTGCATCAGTTAATTTCAACATAATATTTTATTCTAAACAAACAAACAAACAAAAAAACGGTAAGGGAGGGATGGTATCCCAATCTTGCAGGTGGCACAATGAAGACCCAGAGAGGACAGCAAACTTCCTGAGGTCACACCAGCAGTAAGAGGCAGGACCACAAGTCAAATCTTACTGCAATATCCCTTCACTCTCTACTACTCCACACTATAGGATGGTCTAAATACATGGATACATTTTAGTGGAGACAACAGGGCTAAATGTCATCTAATTGAGCTCTCCAGTTCTGTGTTCTGTTGGAAGGATAGGAGAGGTACGTTCCACATTAACAAGGTATAAGCCATAGATGCTCATTTTGAACATCAGAAAAGCTCACTATCTTGTGGGTCCTTTAATCCATCTACCTCCAGGAATAGATACACTCTCACCTACATGTGAACTCTATTTCTTTGAGAGGCAAATTAAAAAAAACAAAAAAACCCTGGTGTAAAAAGATGAACTGTTGCCTGAGCCTGCGGGTTCGAGACCCACCTGGGCAGCGAGAACTCATCTCTACAATAAATAAAATCAGCCGGGCATGGTAGCGCATGCCTGTAATTCCAGCTACTTGGAAGGCTGAGGTGGAAAGATCACTGGAGCCCAGCAGGTCGAGGCTGCGGTGGCCGGAAGCGGCCACTGCACTCCAGTCTGGGCGATAGAGTGAGACTCCAACTCAAAAAAAAAAAAAAAAAGATGAACTGTAATTCTACATATGACTTCACAGAACAGCCTCTGTCTCTCTGTCTGAGTTCACACTTACCTGCAATTATTAAAAGCAAGACCTAAGAGAACAGTCACCTTCTTTATGAATTAAATTGAAAATAAATGTATGTTTTATTGATACAGCATAACTATTAACACATTAGATTTTTTGGAAAGTTATATCTAGTTAGTACATATTTCTGGTGTTGAGAATTCAATTTGGA